AGCGTTATTAAATCATCATTAGATCATCTTTAGATCACCATTAGAGCCTTATTAAATCATAATTAGATCATCATTAGATCATTATTAGATCATCATTAGATTATATTAGTGTTATTAAATCATCATTAGATCATCATTAGTGTTATGAAATCCTTATTAGAAATGAGTGCTCAATCTAGAACAGTGAACTACAACTTTTATATTTTATGAATTGTTTTATTTACCAAAACGTTCCCACAGATAATATAAAATGTCTTTAGTTCTTTAAAAACAGTTCTCTGACTTATATTTCAGAATCTCCGTTTTTGTCTTCTTGTGCTCATTGTAGCCGTCTTGCTAATTTTTTTGCTTTTAGCTACAATGTTGCTCAGTTTAACTTTTAGCTGCAGCTTTTTCCTTTTTTTTTTTTTTTGCTTCTACTTACAGTTGTACTGTTTCTGATTTTTAAGTACGGCTTTGTTAATTTTCACATTTAACTTGGATGTTGCTTGTTTTTAATTATTTATTTTATTTTAGCTTAGCATTTTTTGGCCTTTTCGCTCCAGTGTTGCTTTCTTTTGCTATATAATTTTCTAGTTTTATATCATTTAGCTATAGCTTCACTAATTATAGTTTTCAACTAGTTTTGCTGATGTTAGCTTTTAGGGAAAGTTTGGCTAGTTTTAGCTTTTTTTGAAAGAATTATTTATAGCTTTTGGCTACTGTTCTGCTATTTTTAGGATTGCAGATGTTCTGTTGAACATTTTAGCTCTCAGCTACAATTTTAAAATTAGATTTTAGCTTATGTTTGCCTAGTTGCATATTTTGCTCTTAGCTATGGTTTAGCAATTCTTAGCTTTATCTACAATTGTGTTTTTTAGTTTTTATCTACAGCTTTAATCACTTTCAAATATGATGTTGATCATTTTCCATTTTAGTTATGGCCTTACACGTTTTAGCTTTAGTTAGTTAGTTTTACTAATTTTAGGTTTTAGCTACCATTTTGCTAAAGTTAAGTTTTTTTTTTTTTTTTACCGTTTTACAAATTGAAGCTTTTAGCTACTGTTTTGATACTAACCGTTTTTTTTGGCTAGTTCTGTGGATGTTAGCTTTAAGCTTCGGTTTGCTAATTTTAGCCCATAGCTTCTATTTTATAATTTTTTTTAGCTTTTCGCTACAGTTTCTCTCCGTTTGTTCATAGAAATGCAAGTTTCTGTAATTTCGAGGGGATTGTGGGGGGGGGGGGGGGGGGGGGGGG